CCATGAATCCCACTCCCCTCCTGCTTTGGCAGCCCCTCCAGCTTCTCTCCACTGTTCTCTTCCTTTTCCATGCTGCCCCTGGGTAAGAGAGTGAATTAGTCCTCGGTAGCGGTAGCACAGCCCCTTTGGCTGTGCCAGTTGTCGGCAGGAGGGAGCGGAGAATTGGTGCTTGTGCCACCCCTCCGCCTCGTACTGGGGAGCCAGCTCCCCCCTGTCCACTGTGCTCAGACGCACGGTCTGCTTCCTCCCTCCTCCCTGCGCGCAGCTCACCCCACAGCACTGCCCCACTGCAGACATGGCCCCCGAGCCAGACAGCCCCCGAGAGCCTGGCTCCATCCCCTGCCCACCTTTCGGCAGCATCCTGGGCCCCGTCACTGACACCCTGCTCCGCAGAAAGCAGCTTCTCATCTGGCATGCCCACCTTCTCCAGAAAGCACAGTGCTGGGTCCGCCCGCATGGCATTGTACCTCTCGTAACCTGCCAACCACCACGGACCATCAAAAAGGAGAAAGACAGCACAAAGCCAGGCCTGAGCCTGGTTCAGGCAAACCTCCTGCTCTGTGGGACACTGCTCCCCACCCGGCTCTCACTCTCTGTCTGTGCTGCTGTGAGAGCAATTCACACCTCCAGAAATTCAGAACACTTTCCCAAAAGCTGCTAATTGCTCTTCAGTCCCTGGGCAGCAGGCAAAGAGAAAGGTCAGCTTTTCCACCCCACCAGGCAGCGCAGTGCCCGGAGAGCTGCACACAGCACCCATGGCAGGTTGCAGCTGGGAGCAAACAGCCCTGGGGCTCCTGGAAGCCGCAGGGGGACTTCAGGACAAGGCCGGGGATGCCAGGAGAGGCTCGGTGCCTTCCTCCTTGCCCTCATGTGGCAACTGCATGCTGCTCCTGGCAAACCAGAGCAGTCTGCCACGAGACCAGGTACGGCCACCCCAGGCACCGCAGTGTGCCTGCCCCACCACCAGAATGAGCTGGCAGCACCACAGCTGCTGGCGCGGGAGGAGAGCTGCCCTGGCCCTGTGTGGCTATGGTCCATGGCCACTGCTCTGCCCTCCTGCACTGACATCATGTCAGTACCAGAGCTCTGGCCAGGTGCTCCACTTGGGTCCCTCTCACACACTGGCACCTACCAGTCAAGCTGGGTACACACCGTGCTTGAAGACACCGATGAGCAGGGATTTATCAGCTTCAGCATTCCACCAGTCCACTGGGATCTCCACGTAATCAATGTCTGGCAGCAGCACATCCAGCTCCCTGTGGCAGACAAGGTATGAATGCCCATCTCCCAGCTTCACCAGACACTGGAGCGTACTGGGCACTGCTGGGCAGGGGCAGGGGGAGACAGGAGCCATCACTCACTGGCTTGGGGACAGCTAATGAACGCAAGGCTGGCCTGAGGCCCCGCCATGGCCTGGCATGCACATCTCCCCGGGGTCAGAGGGCTGGAGCCTTGGCTCTACCACAACCCACTGCCTTCCCCACCCTCTTTCTCCAGAGATGGGGAGGCTGCAGAGCCCCTCTCCCCTCTCAGCCCAGCAACACCAGAGGTGTTGATGGGAGAGGATCACCAGAGGATCAGACAGGAGATCCTATCTGATCTGAACAGCATCTCTTGGGGGAAACCACTTCAAACCTACCAGCCCCAAAAGAACAGCACATCTGGTGGGGTTGGCTGCAACGTGCCCTCCACACAGGCTTGTGCTGATGGAGCTATGCTGGGGAAGGCAGTAGCCCCTGCTCTAGGAAATTAAGCTCAGCATATCACACTTCTCTCTGAAGCACCAAGAGCTGAGTCTTTGCAGGAAGATCAGGAGCTGGCAGGCTGCAGGCTCAGTGGCATTAACAGAGCCTGTCAGCCCCCTTGCCCTCTGTGCTGGGAAAGGACTGCAGGCCACAGTGATGGGGCATGCTTTGCTCCGAGGCCTGGCCCTGGGAACCGGGCAGTCTCTGTGGGCTCCCGCTTTGGATTAAAGGCCAATTTGTCAGGCAGCACGTGGAGACATTTTCCTACAGGCTGCAGGGTGTCCCCAAGTGTCCTCACCACCCCCCAGGCTGGTGCTGCAGCCTCAGAGCTGCCTCAACAGGGCTGCTACGGCAGTGGTCCCTGCTCAAGCAGAGCTGTTGTCTAAGGATGGTGATGAGGATTTGACCACAGGGTCTGACTCAGCCGGAGCTGCTGTGAGCCCAGATGTGGCTGGGCTGGATGGCTGTGGCAGTGCTCAAGCGCCGCCACCACCTCCCGGAGAAGTATCGCAGGAGTTCACCGTAAGGTCCCTACCTGGCAGGGGTCCCCTCAAAGGCTTTGTCAGCGGCCTCCCCCAGCACTTCAGCCTTCAGGTAGTAGAGCATTCGCACCCGCAGCAGAACCCTGTCCCGGGGCAGCAGAGAGGAACGCACGCTAGCACGCAGGTGCTCAGACACCAGCCTAGGACCTGCCCCAACGGCCCTCGCCAGAGTGTTTGTCTGAGGGTCAGCAAGGCGAGGGAAACCTGCTCATCATCATGTTTCCCCATGTGGGAGGACCCACTTTCTCAAAGCAGGATGGGCACTAGCCACATGGTGTCATGCCACAGTGCCCAGCCCTGAGATCTGCTGAGGCCCTGTGGCCAGAGGTTTGCTGCTCAGGACACAGCTCCCGTTAGCTGGTGGAGCATCTGAGAGCGGTCCAGCAGCAGGAGCATAGTGATCCTGTGTGGGTTGTGAGCCCTTCGCAACGCCCTCCCAGCCTCCCCACACTAAAGGCCCTCAGCCCATGGACTCCACAAGCCAGCGTGGATTCCCACACTCACTTGTTGCAGTGCTGTTTGAGGTGCTTCTTGTAGCTGTCGTCATGCAGGACAACCTCAGGGTTACAGGTGGCGAGCCAGTCCGCGTTCTTTATCTCGGGAAGCAGCATCTGGTTTTTTGTCTTCTTCCCCTTCCTGCCTCTGGGCACCGGTGCTGACAAGCCTGTAACAGCAAGTGGCAGCCAGTGAGCACCGTGGGCCAGGCCAGGCATCGCTGTGAGGCAGGGCAGCAGAGCCAGGGAGCTGGAGGAGGCCGTGCAAAGCTCCTGGCTGCAGGTCGGCAAGCCAGGCTGGGGGAAGCGCACGGGGTAAACACAGAGCATGGGAGGCTCTGTCTCCCAGAAAAACTTGGGGATCACCACAGAAACTGAACTGTTGTGAGTTCTCAGTGCAATGCTGAGCCCAAAGGATAACATGGCTCCTTGATGTATAAAAGTATCACACAGAAGCACGGAAGGGACCTTGGTCCTGGGCACAGCTCTTAGAGCCTTACCTAGACACTACAGCCAGCTCTGAAGTTTACCCTACGGGGACAACACAGTGATTTGGGGCAAGAGCTGAAACATGAGGTTTCCAAATGATCAAAGACCAGAAGACAATCCTGATGATCTGATCTGTAAGGGTTGTTTCCTATTCTGCGCATCAGGAGGAGGGCTATGTGGGAACCAGATCACTGTAGGGGGCATTTACACTTGGCAAAGATACCGAAGGGAAAAGGAATGCAGTCTCATCTGGCTGACAAAGACAAAATGAGATCCAGTGGCTGAAGCTGAAAATTGAACACATTTTCAACTTGAAATAAGATGTGAGTTCACAGCAGAACGTGGAAATAACTCCTGGTGGAGTTATTGCTTGGAGTCTCCAAGAGGGATGAGCTGCTTCCCTGAGCAGCCACTTCTTCAGGCAGGGTCCTGCAGGTGTCCTCTCCTGTCTATGTGTGCGAAGGGGAAAGAAGTGCCTCAGTAGTCCCATCCCATCCATTTGGTCTTGCGACACCATGGAAGAAGAGAGAGCATCGTCCTGTCTTCAACATCTGCAAAATGTTTGCATCTCCACGACAGGACAAGGGCTCGAGCCCAGGTGGTTGCTGGAGGCCTGCAGTGGGTACCAGGGCTTCTGTCCCCAGCACCAAATTGGCCTGATGAACTCTGGGCAAACGCTGCTTCCTCAGCAGCTTGGCCTTTTCCAGGATGAAAGGCAGGACAAGGCTGGCAGAGCTCTGAGCTGGGCTGCCCGCATGCTGTGCTTGCCCCTCGTAGTCACGGGGTTATGGGATTGAGAAGGAACAGCCCAAGGATGCACTGCCAAGGGCTGGAGGTTGCTGTTTTGTTGTTCCTCTGGCCAAAACCACATGGAGGTTTCACAGTTGCGAAAAGCCATTCTGAAGAGTTGATGGAGAAGCTCCTGGTTACTTCCTTCTGCTAAATATCCAAATTGAGTGCTGCTCTTGCACTAAAGCATTCCTGAGTCTCCACTGAAACGGCAAATTGTTCGTTACAGAATCACAGAATGGTCAGGGTTGGAAGGGACCTCTGGAGAGCATCCAGTCCAACCCCCCGGCCAAATCAGGGTCACCTACAGCAAGTTGCACAGGATCACGTCCAGGTGGGTTTTGAATATCTCCAGAGAAGGAGACTCCACCTCTCTGGGCAGCCTGGGCCAGTGCTCGGCCACCCTCAGTGTGTAGAAGTTTTTGCTCATGTTCAGATGAAACCTCCTGAGTTT